GGTCTGGCTGTTTGACCCCGCCTCTCAACCGTCAATCAACTGATGTACAGATTCCTGAGCCTACTGGGCTCTGTTATATCCACATTTAAAACTGTGTATGGAGTCAGCCTCCACCACATCACTGCAGGAGACATTCACATATGGGACTAATAGAGCAAGAACTCGGCAATGTGATGTTATAGTGGCCAGAATACGCCTGGGATATAGACGTATCTGGCAGCTTCTCAAAACCCAAATGTAGAGTACACAATGTGTCAACTTTGTGAAAGAGAAAACATGCACTCTCTTGAACATTATATTGTAGAATGTCCCATACTGACTGACTTTCGCCCTCCTGGGCTAAGGTATGCTGAACTCTGTAATTACTATATGAGTACTGTAACGCTTGATGATATATTGGACTTGTACCCAAGATTCACCATGTAATGTATCAATTATACAATGTATGTATGTGATGTAACTATATAACCTGAGCTTGTAAAAGCACCTTCATCACCTTCAGTGATTAAGTGCTTAATTGCACACTAGTTTCTCTATCAGCTATCTCACCCTGTCAGAGTAAAAGAGACAAATGTATGTGAATGAATGTGTGTGTATATATATGTATATGAACGTATATGTGTGTGTATGTATATGTATGTGTATAAATTATATATGGAAGCTGATCAGCATTACATTTCACCTTTGTAAATGCACATTAATGACACTATGTAAAAGACACATCGAACACTTTATGTAGGGCATACGTAAATCTGTCTATCTTTGTATTTACGTATGTAGGTTACCTTAGCATTTTAAAAGCATTTTAAAAGCACCGAATCACCTTCTGTGGTTGATTGTTCAATAAACCCCTGAACCATATGTTTAACACATCTCTAACCCTGTCCATGGGTTAGAGATGACAGAAGGACAGAAGAAAATATATATATGTTGGTTAGCATTGTAAATGTATGGCCACGTCTGTGGTAGAAAAAAACTGCCTAATACATTCCACTTGTTAACTACTCTGACACTGAAAAAGTTCTTTCTAACGCGCGCGTGTGTGTGTGTGTGTGTGTGTGTGTGTGTGTGTGTGTGTGTGTGTGTGTGTGTGTGTGTGTGTGTGTGTGTGTGTGTGTGTGTGTGTGTGTGTGTGTGTGTGCTTGCATGTATGTTCCTGTAGTTTGGTAGACATGCGAAAGAAGCACGACCAGACCAGGCACGACCAGGCCAGGCACGACCAGACCAGGCACGACCACAGGGAGAGAGCGAAGGCACCATGCATGGGATGGAGGACAGACAGCACGCCGTAGCGGACCCGCCATCCGGTGTGAACTAGCAAGACAAACACCCGCTGTGAGGCCACGCACACACACACACACACACACACACACACACACACACACACACACACACACACACACACACACACACACACATACATATATACCAAAGAGCCAGAGCTCAACCCCCGCAAGCACAATTAGGTGAGTACAACCCCCCTTCCGACACACACATAAACATAAACAATTGTATATGTATGTATGTATATATATATATATATATATATATATATATATATATATATATATATATATATATATATATATAAAGCCACCACAACAATTATTGTTAAATTGAATAAACCAAATCGCGTGAGACCGAGCTTGGCGCAATATAACCTTGAGGCAATGTGACGTATACACTTGTAAGTTGTAACCTTGTCTAAACTCAATTTTGGTCGAATATGTGGTGAATATCGAGTGATTATGGACTCGTGGTCATATATTTCGTTATAGACCAGGCCCGTTATAGTCCAGCTGGAATTCACAACTAATCATCACGAACAAACGCAAACTAATATAACTCCTGCAAACAAATGTTGTTTTTTAATTATTATTTTCGCTTGACATGAGGATGTCCTTAGATAATGTTGAGGTGTGTGTGTGTGAGCAAGATTAGTAACTGTGTGACTCACCATAGATGGAAACGGCTTTATATAGTGACTGTTGTGAGTCTCTTGTGGAATCATTTGTGATATAAAAAGTCTATTAATATGTATATGTATTTGTGAACATGTATGTGTATTTATGTATACGTGTATGTAATATTAACAACTGTGTAACTAGCTTCACAAGATTGTCACTTGCTTAGCTAGACGAATTATGAGGTTCAGTTCCTGAACCCATTATGTGCCTCTGTAACCCTTTCCTTCACCGCCCACGGCATGGGTATGAGGTGCATAATAAATGACGTTGCAACTGCCACTATCGCTGACCTTCCAAGCTGCTGTGGTCTATAAGCATCACAGAAACGTCCTCCAACATCTCACAATGTTCCATATACAGCTCCAATGTAAAATTTGTGAATTAAATAAAGAATAATTGGTCGTTGATGTATTATTAGCACCAAGTAATTGTGAAGGTAATTACGAGGTGGTGATTACAATTGACTTAATAATGATCCAGGACGAACCGAACGTCGTCGTCTCCTCATCTTGTGGTGTATGGTCTAGACTTCATACGAGGTAGTGTTTGTGTTATGAAACATTAATATTTTACACGCACACTCGGAGCACAAGAACGTAATTAATCTATGATAAGACACAGAGGCCAGGTAAAAGTGCTGTCTTACTTTTGACAACTATTTCTGACTCAGTATGAAGGTTGCAGCATTGCGTTTACTAACGATGCAATGTATTTACTAACGATGCAATGTATTTACTAACGATGCAATGTATTTACTGACGATGCAATGTATTTACTAACTATGCAATGCATTTACTAACGATGCAATGCATTTACTAATGATGTCTTGTATGCTGCTCTGTTTTGCACATTATATCAGTTGTTTACTATGAATAACTTTGAGTTCAGTCATTATTGTCGTAAGATTTGTGTTTCCTTAGATATTCACAATTTAAAATTAATTATATTCAGTAATTGATACTAGTTCCTGAAATTTAAATAAAGGCTTACACCCCGGCTTTTGCATATTCCCTTCTTGCAGGAGTCAAAGACTCAAAGTATATATTGATAAGCGAAGAAAACATTGAAAATGATCTTAAACTATATACTTTGAATATATACTTTTGGGTGCTATAGTGCCACACGTGCCAATATTCCTTTCATTAATGATTGTTTTATGTATAATGACAAAGTTTACCATTTTATTCAGTAATAATAGCCAAAGACAGGTTAAATCTTAGTAATTGTTGGGATTTATAAGCAACATCATAACACGTAAGTCACCGTCTAAGGTTACAGGTACCTGGTACTCTACAGGTCCCTGGTACTCTACAGGTCCCTGGTACTCTACAGGTCCCTGGTACTCTACAGGTCCCTGGTACTCTACAAGTCCCTGGTACTCTACAGGTCCCTGGTACTCTACAGGTCTCTGGTACTCTACAGGTCTGGTACTCTACATGCCTCTGGTACTCTACAGGCACCTGGTACTCTACAGGTCCCTGGTACTCTACAGGTCCCTGGTACTTTACAGGTCCCTGGTACTCTACAGGTACCTGGTACTCTACAGATCCCTGGTCCTCTACAGGTACCTTGTACTCTACAGGCACCTGGTACTCTACAGGCCTCTGGTACTCTACAGGCTCCTGGTACTCTACTGGTACCTGGTACTCTACAGGTCTGGTACTCTACAGGTCCCTGGTACTCTACAGGCACCTGGTACTCCACAGGCTCCTGGTACTCTACTGGTACCTGGTACTCTACAGGTCCCTGGTATTCTACAGGTACCTAGTACTCTACAGGTCCCTGGTACTCTACAGGTTCCTGGCACTCTACAGGTGCCTGGTACTCTACAGGTACCTGGTACTCTACAGGTCCCTGGTACTCTACAGGCACCTGGTACTCTACAGGCCTCTGGTACTTTACAGGCACCTGGTACTTTACAGGCACCTGGTACTCTACAGGCACCTGGTACTCTACAGGTCCCTGGTACTCTACAGGTCCCTGGTACTTTACAGGTCCCTGGTACTCTACAGGTACCTGGTACTCTACAGATCCCTGGTCCTCTACAGGTACCTGGTACTCTACAGGCACCTGGTACTCTACAGGCCTCTGGTACTCTACAGGCTCCTGGTACTCTACTGGTACCTGGTACTCTACAGGTCTGGTACTCTACAGGTCCCTGGTACTCTACAGGCACCTGGTACTCCACAGGCTCCTGGTAATCTACTAGTACCTGGTACTCTACAGGTCCCTGGTATTCTACAGGTACCTAGTACTCTACAGGTCCCTGGTATTCTACAGGTCTACAGGTTCCTGGCACTCTACAGGTACCTGGTACTCTACAGGTACCTGGTACTCTACAGGTCCTTGGTACTCTACAGGCACCTGGTACTCTACAGGCCTCTGGTACTTTACAAGCACCTGGTACTCTACAGGCACCTGGTACTCTACAGGTACCTGGTACTCTACAGGCACCTGGTACTCTACAGGTACCTGGTACTCTACAGGTACCTGGTACTCTACAGGCACCTGGTACTCTACAGGCACCTGGTACTCAGCCAAGATCAACATTACGGCGCCAGGCGTGGCACGACGCCGCCCCAAACAGGTACCAGGCGCTCAATACTGGTTTCCTTTGAGGTATCTTGAAGCACCGATCAATACCGGTTTACTAGTGAGGCCGGGAGCCAGGCCGAGATCCACCTCAGGAAACACACCAGGAGCCAGGCCGAGATCCACCTCAGGAAACACACCAGGAGCCAGGCCAAGATCCACCTCAGGAAACACACCAGGAGCCTGGCCGAGATCCACCTCAGGAAACACACCAGGAGCCTGGCCAGGATCCACCTCAGGAAACACACCAGGAGCCTGGCCAAGATCCACCTCAGGAAACACATCAGGAGCCTGGCCAAGATCCACCTCAGGAAACACACCAGGAGCCAGACCAGGATCCACCTCAGGAAACACACCAGGAGCCAGACCAAGATCCACCTCAGGAAACACACCAGGAGCCAGGCAAGGATCCACCTCAGGAAACACACCAGGAGCCTGGCCATGATCCACCTCAGGAAACACACCAGGAGCCAGACCAAGATCCACCTCAGGAAACACACCAGGAGCCAGGCCAGGATCCACCTCAGGAAACACACCAGGAGCCAGGCAAGGATCCACCTCAGGAAACACACCAGGAGCCTGGCCAAGATCCACCTCAGGAAACACACCAGGATTCACCTCAGGAAACACACCAGGATCCACCTCAGGAAACACACCAGGATCCACCTCAGGAAACACACCAGGAGCCAGGCCAAGATCCACCTCAGGAAACACACCAGGAGCCAGGCCAGGATCCACCTCAGGAAACACACCAAGAGCCAGGATCCACGACAGGAAACACACCAGGAGCCTGGCCAAGATCCACCTCAGGAAACACACCAAGAGCCAGGCCAGGATCCACCTCAGGAAACACACCAGGAGCCAGACCAAGATCCACCTCAGGAAACACACCAGGAGCCAGACCAAGATCCACCTCAGGAAACACACCAGGAGCCAGGCCAGGATCCACCCCAGGAAACACACCAGGAGCCAGGCCAGGATCCACCTCAGGAAACACACCAGGAGCCTGGCCAAGATCCACCTCAGGAAACACACCAGGATTCACCTCAGGAAACACACCAGGATCCACCTCACAAAACACACCAGGATCCACCTCAGGAAACACACCAGAATCCACCTCAGGAAATACACCAGAATCCACCTCAGGAAACACACCAGAATCCACCTCAGGAAATACACCAGAATCCACCTCAGGAAACACACCAGAATCCACCTCAGGAAACACACCAGAATCCACCTCAGGAAACACACCAGAATCCACCTCAGGAAACACCAGAATCCACCTCAGGAAATACGCCAGGATCCACCTCAGGAAACACACCAGGATCCACCTCAGGAAACCAGGATCCACCTCAGGAAACACACCAGGATCCACCTCAGGAAACACACCAGGATCCACCTCAGGAAACCAGGATCCACCTCAGGAAACACACCAGGATCTACCTCAGGGAACACACCAGGAGCCACCTCAGGAAACACACCAGAAGCCACCTCAGGAAACACACCAGGATCCACCTCAGGAAACACGCCAGGATCTACCTCAGGAAACACGCCAGGAGCCACCTCAGGAAACACGCCAGGATCTACCTCAGGAAACACGCCAGGATCTACCTCAGGAAACACGCCAGGAGCCACCTCAGGAAACACGCCAGGATCCACCTCAGGAAACACACCAGGATCCACCTCAGGAAACACACTAGGATCCACCTCAGGAAACACACCAGGATCTACCTCAGGGAACACACCAGGAGCCACCTCAGGAAACCAGGATCCACCTCAGGAAACACACCAGGATCCACCTCAGGAAACACACCAGGATCTACCTCAGGGAACACACCAGGAGCCACCTCAGGGAACACACCAGAAGCCACCTCAGGAAACACACCAGAAGCCACCTCAGGAAACACACCAGGATCCACCTCAGGAAACACACCAGGATCCACCTCAGGAAACACGCCAGGATCTACCTCAGGAAACACGCCAGGATCCACCTCAGGAAACACACCAGGATCCACCTCAGGAAACACACCAGGATCTACCTCAGGGAACACACCAGGAGCCACCTCAGGAAACCAGGATCCACCTCAGGAAACACACCAGGATCCACCTCAGGAAACGCCAGGATCCACCTCAGGAAACACACCAGGATCTACCTCAGGGAACACACCAGGAGCCACCTCAGGGAACACACCAGAAGCCACCTCAGGAAACACACCAGAAGCCACCTCAGGAAACACACCAGGATCTACCTCAGGAAACACGCCAGGATCCACCTCAGGAAACACGCCAGGATCTACCTCAGGAAACACGCCAGGATCCACCTCAGGAAACACACCAGGATCCACCTCAGGAAACACGCCAGGATCCACCTCAGGAAACACACCAGGATCCACCTCAGGAAACACGCCAGGATCCACCTCAGGAAACACACCAGGATCCACCTCAGGAAACACACCAGGATCTACCTCAGGGAACACACCAGGAGCCACCTCAGGAAACCAGGATCCACCTCAGGAAACACACCAGGATCCACCTCAGGGAACACACCAGAAGCCACCTCAGGAAACACACCAGAAGCCACCTCAGGAAACACACCAGAAGCCACCTCAGGGAACACACCAGAAGCCACCTCAGGAAACACACCAGGATCTACCTCAGGAAACACGCCAGGATCCACCTCAGGAAACACGCCAGGATCTACCTCAGGAAACACACCAGGATCTACCTCAGGAAACACGCCAGGATCTACCTCAGGAAACACGCCAGGATCTACCTCAGGAAACACACCAGGATCTACCTCAGGAAACACACCAGGATCTACCTCAGGAAACACACCAGGAGCCACCTCAGGAAACACACCAGGAGTCACCTCAGGAAACACACCAGGATCTACCTCAGGAAACACACCAGGAGCCACCTCAGGAAACACACCAGGAGTCACCTCAGGAAACACACCAGGATCTACCTCAGGAAACACACCAGGATCCACCTCAGGAAACACACCAGGAGCCACCTCAGGAAACACGCCAGGATCCACCTCAGGAAACACACCAGGATCCACCTCAGGAAACACACCAGGAGCCACCTCAGGAAAAACGCCAGGATCCACCTCAGGAAACATACGAGGAGCCACCTCAGGAAACACACTTGGAGCCACCACACTGTGTGAAAGTTGAGTATTTTACATCCATTCCCTCAGATGAAGACTCAACATGTTGCAACATTCACGTATTTCAAGGAGCTTGCGTGCAACATATAGTCATTGATATCAGATATGCAACTTTGATGCAGGTGATTTGGCGGCTGAGTTGACGAACACTTCGTCTTTGATTAAGGGGATGACCCACAATAAATATATATATATATATATATATATATATATATATATATATATATATATATATATATATATATATATATATATGTCGTACCTAGTAGCCAGAACGCACTTCTCAGCCTACTATGCAAGGCCCGTTTTGCCTAATAAGCCAAGTCTTCCTGAATTAATATATTTTCTCTAATTTTTTTCTCGTGAAATGATGAAGCTACCCATTTCATTATGTATGAGGTCAATTTTTTTTTATTGGAGATAAAATTAACGTAGATATATGACCGAACCTAACCAACCCTACCTAACCTAACCTAACCTATCTTTATAGGTTAGGTTAGGTTAGGTAGCCGAAAAAGTAAGGTTAGGTTAGGTTAGGTAGGTTAGGTAGTCCAAAAACAATTAATTCATGAAAACTTGGCTTATAAGGCAAATCGGGCCTTGCATAGTAGGTTGAGAAGTGCGTTCTGGCTACTAGGTACGACACACACATATATATATATATATATATATATATATATATATATATATATATATATATATATATATATATATATATATATATATATAGATTATTATATATTAAAGTTCTGTGTATAGTGAGACATAGGATAGGTTAGTTTTCAAGTTCTATTGGCAATTATTTGTATTTCAAGAACGTGGGTTAAACATTTAGAATTGGGATTCGAACAGAGGTCGTCGGCGAAGCACTGCTCGAGAAATTTTTGAACACCATTATTTGTGATTCGTGTATAAACCGTTTTTCATTCATAAACAAAGGGGGGGGGGGTGTTGGGGTTTGGCGGCTGGATTAACAAGCATTTGGCCCTTGTTGATGAGGACGAGCTGGAATTGTGAGCGATGTGTAGACCGTCCTCGTTAATATTGGTCAAATGCTCGTTAATCCAACCTTTAAAATTTCATGTTAATAATTGACAAACACACTACACGTTACACACAACTGATTAAATTCGAACTTTTACTGATGAGTGTTTCCTTTGTTCCCGTGTTCATGAAGCACCTTATTAAATGCTTCACTCACGTCTTGTTGGTACAAATAATTACCAAGAGAGAGAGCCAACACGCCAAACATGACCATTCAAGGGCTTTAGCCTACACCAAGTTATAATATACACTATTACTCTTTTTATATATGAGAAAACAGAGTTTGTGGATACATAATAAGTAAATGTGAATATATCTTTAGGATCGGCCGCTGCTTGGACGAGCATAGGCTGAAGATGGGTTGAGAAGTAGGCTGCGTTGCATTTCTTTGTAGAAATGTACTGTTATCTTGAGATGATTTCGGGGCTTTTTTTTAGTGTCCCCGCGGCCCGGTCCTCGACCAGGCCTCCACCCCCAGGAAGCAGCCCGTGACAGCTGACTAACACCCAGGTACCTATTTACTGCTAGGTAACAGGGGCATAGGGTGAAAGAAACTCTGCCCATTGTTTCTCGCCGGCGCCCGGGATCGAACCCGGGACCATAGGATCACAAGTCCAGTGTGCTGTCCGCTCGGCCGACCGGCTGTTATCCGAAGATTAATACAAAAAACGGCATGGGCCTTCAATGAATGAAGGCCGTGACGATTTAGATATTGTTTTCCAGTCTAAAGTGCTGAACTACAAGTCACTCAGAGTATCTTGCCTATTGTACGGAGCCATAGGCCATTCATTGATTGTTTAGTCCTTGGCACGGTGGCTTCAGCCGTGCTATGGAGCCACATGCCATTCTCAGCAAGTCATGTCACTGGCACGGAGCCATAAGTCATCCACTGCACCTTCAGCCCATAACAAGGGCTGACATAGTACCAGCGGGCTTGTGAACAAACGTGTTCGACTGAGAAACTCGCAACTATGCAAGAAATACAAATTCACAGTTAGGGAAATCGTGGGTGAATTAATGAAGATTCCTGACATCAGAGCATCTCTACCGTTTGGCACTCATGATGTACTCATCCAGGTGTACTCATACACGTGCTTACGGAGAACCAGCTTCATCTCTTGGGCTGGACTGTAGAGCGACGGTCTCGCTTCATGCAGGTCGGCGTTCTATCCCCCGACCGTCCAAAGGGCAGGGAACTATTTCTTCCCTCCCCCCTCCCCCCCGTCCCATCCCAAATCCGTATTCTGACCCCTTCCCAGTACTATATAGGTGTAATGTATCGGCGCTTTCTCCTCATAATTTCATGCCATTCCCGGGGTTCTCATCGTCACCAATAATCTTCGGGTTTTATGACTCCCAAAGCCCACAGGTTTGTGCAAATATGAACGAATGAGTGTATGGAAATTTGCTTCCTAAGTTCTTCATGTCGGTGCATACTCCTCACACTCGAGACATTTCTTATGACATCTCATTGACCTCCCCCATACCTTGTGTGAACCCCTGGCGTGTCCTGGTCACTGTGTCCCCTCGTCCTAGTCCCTGTACTTGTGTCCCCTCGTCCTTGTGTTGCCCGTTGTCCTGTCCTCACCCAAACTTCACCGCCCTGCTCCTCTCATCCTTCGCCATCTCCTTGTCCTCATCAGTTCAACAGCATCTGCCATAACGTCAACTGTTTTCGTAAGTAACCTGCAACAGCCGGCGCGGTCGACCGCCAGTAACTTGCGGGCCGCAGTGTATGTACCCCATGGTCATTCACACAGTGGGTAGGCATGTTGCCTAAGTTGCAGCTTCACTCAGGAAGCAACTGTGCAAGCATTACCCACACTCATGGGAGGCAAACATGGCGCGAGGACCCCAGACGCACGCTGGAGGGTGTTTACCTCGGCAGCCAGCTGGGCACCCCTCACAGTCTGACCTGTCAACTACTTACCCAGAACAAACAAAGCACTTGGCTCAAACTGTGTATATGTGTTGCTGCCAGACTCGAGTACACGCCTGTCTCTATCATTGCCCCACTGCTATATATCCCTATCCCAGCCCCACTTCCTCCTATCCTTATGGCCATCTATCTTCACTGTCTATTTAAACTTTGCCCTATTAAGATCCCCATCCTTGCCCTATTAGACCTACTACACAAATCAATATACAGTGTCACATATCTTACCTTTGCTCTTACTTAAAAGCTCTCCGGTTCTTTTTTGGCTGCTTCAGCCGCTAGAGTGCCTGTAGTGACTGCTTCAGCCGCTAGAGTGCCTGTAGTGACTGCCTCAGCCGCTAAAGTTGCCTGTAGTGGCTGCCTCAGCCGCTAGAGTGCCTGTAGTGGCTGCCTCAGCCGCTAGAGTGCCTGTAGTGGCTGCCTCAGCCGCTAGAGTTGCCTGTAGTGGCTGTTGCAGGCAGTTGGACATACAGGCACGTAGGCAGATACATATGCAAGCAGGCAGACATATACTCTAAGGGATGATGGATGTGCAGTCTCCCCTTGTGATCCACCGTTGCCCCCAGCTGAACACTTTGATCATATCTCTTTTGTGTATCCCTAGGATCTTAGACTTCAGGATCCTGTCTACTCTTTACTGGCGTTTATCTGTGTGTGTGTATGTGTGTGTGTGTGTGTGTGTGTGTGTGTGTGTGTGTGTGTGTGTGTGTGTGTGTGTGTGTGTGTGTGTGTGTGTGTGTGTGTGTGTGTGTGTACACACCTATTTGTGTTTGCGGGGGTTGAGGTCTGGCTCTTTGGTCCCGCCTCTCAACCGTCAATCAACAGGTGTACAGGTTCCTGAGCCTATTGGGGTCTATCATATCTACACTTCAAATTGTGTATGGAGTCAGCCTCCACCACATGACTGCCTAATGCATTCCATTTGTCAACCACTCTGACATTAACAAAATTAATTTTAATATCTTTGTAGCTCATTTGGGCACTCAATTTCCACCTGTGTCCCATAGTGCGTGTGCCCCTTGTGTTAAATAGCCTGTCTTTATCTACCCTGTCAATTCCTCTGAGAATCTTGTACGTGGTGATCATGTCCCCCCTAACTCTTTTGTCTTCTAGCGACGTGAGGTTCAATTCCCGTAGTCTCTCCTCATAGCTCATACCTCTCAGCCCGGGTACTAGTCTGGTGGCAAACCTTTGAACCTTTTCCAGTTTGATCTTATGCTTGAATAGATATGGAGTCCATGCTGGGGCTGCATACTCCAGGATTGATCTGACATATGTTGTATACAAAGTTCTGAATGATTCCTTACACAAGTGTCTAAATGCCGTTCTTATGTTAGCCAACCTAACATATGCTGCTGATGTTATCCTCGTGATATGGGCTTCAGGGGACAGGTCTGGCGTGATATCAACCCCCAGGTCTTTCTCTCTCTCTCTCTGACTCTTGAAGAATTTCATCTCCCAAGTGACCTAGAAGACACACTCCTGCTCCCCACACCTATCTTCATTACATTACATTTGCGTGGGTTAAACTCTAACAACCAGTTGTTCGACCATTCCTTCAGTTTGTCTAGGTCTTCTTGAAGTCTCATGTACTCACCTAATTGTGCTTGCG